GTTCGTGACTGGGCGTTAGACATTTCAGCAATTATTCCACGTTTCATTCATATGCCCGCATTTTTTTCTAACAGCGAAACCAAATCGATTATCAAAGTCATGAATTTTCAGATTTTCAATGGTAACTGAACTAAGTACAGACTAGAGTAAGACCACAGGTGTTTGCTGAATAGCAGCATATTCATAGTCCATTCACTCCTAAGAATTACTCAACGTTCCGTCTGACGCGAATCGAAATGCGCGAATTCCCTCAAGCAGTAAAATCAACCAAGTAGTCTCGTCTACAGAATTTTTGCTGAAATGCTAATGGACATTTGGGAATCGGAAACAATTTGCAAATACGGCAATATCCCATGTGAAAACAACCATTTCATGGTTGCAGAACCACGTACCGCTTCGAGACCCAACAAAATTAAAAGTAAATTATCCAATTTCCAAGTGCCGCAGGTGTTTGTGTTTATTGCAATTATACGCCACACACCGAGATAGTCTACGTTTTTTTCCTACGTAGATTTAACCTTAGATTCGTTCACTGTAGGGTAATGACTTCGAATTTGCTTGATGGAAGTTCAGTGGGTAAGATAAAAAAACCTCAAATTTGCTCAGAGAATAAAAGCAATGACTCACATGCTGAAAGGATCTCGAAAGACATGCTAGACGACATACAACGACTATTCAAAGAGATGCATTTATTTAAATTTTAACGAATTAAAAGGTTTTGAGCCTCTGTATGTATTAAATTATTTGATAATCAACTCAAATACACCCTGTGCATACTTTCGTCTTGCATATTTTTTTGTTGCTTTTTTTTGCGATTTTCACAGTTTTTTTGTGCATAGACGCCGAATTACATTGGATTTGAATAAGAACATAAGAACATCGCATTGTTTTCAGCTTTATCCTATTTCGTTGTATTTTAGTTTTGTACGGCAAATTCTGGAGACGCAAAAATACACTTAACAAATTTTAAACTCTATTTAATGTATTTTTCTCCAAGGGGGTTCTAAAAACATTCTGGTATTGAGGTTTGTTTAGCGAAATAAAGCAATTTGAAGCGAAAAGCGAAACAGTCACTTAAATTTTAATATTTAAAAAATTAGTGTGTTTCTTTTCGAAATTATAATTTTCGTCATCACTTTAAAAATTAGTTTTTCACATAATTACGGCAAGTAGAAAAAAAATAATTTTAATACATATTCGACTAATTGAGCTAAGGAGGAAAGAAGTATTCTAAATTTATTTATGCATCTTTCTCATAAAATTTTTGTTTTTTCAGAATTTTCTTGGTGTTCTCATACCTCATTAACTTAATAAACCTTTTTATATAACTGAAGATTTTCCATACAGATCATTCTTAATAATTCCACTTCAATATATGAACGAACAATTTTTTTCCTTTCAAACTGAAAATGTTGATATTTTTCAATAGAAATGAAGAATAGTGTTTTGTTTTGTAGTCAAAAGTTGAGATTTTATACACCCGAAACAGAGATGGATTTTAATTTGCGTCTTTTACTTTTAAATTGAAAATTAGATAAAGCAAATAACAAATTACTCATGAAACGACTTGAGCTGTAGCACTTGAGCTGTTGTGGCTTAATTAGTCGACACTTCATTCTTCAGCTTGGTTTGTTTTATTAACTTTTGATGTTAAATAAAAAAAATATTTTAATTCAAATTCAAAGTTTATTCAAATGACGAGTTTACAATTTATAAATTAACAACAGTCCATCCAATAACCAATCTTACCTCAAAAGCTAATCAATCCAAAAATGTGAAGCACCTAGGTGTGTCCACCTGTATGTGCATGACTGTACAAAAGAAAATAACATTTTAGAGTTTCCGAAGGAATATTTGACTGAAGAAATATTAAATATTAAATTAGAGTTAACAAAGTTGGATCTGCGGATTTACATGAGTTAAAAATATTTAAGGAACGAATCAGTAGTTTCATAAATATATACTCTTTACATTTTATTTTAAATAATTATTATTACGGTCATTCTTCAGCTTTACTCGGCTACTCATTTTCCAATCAAGTTGTGTCTGCCGTTGCGATTATGGGCTTTAAAGAATCCCAACCTGATCAAGTCGTTTTGCTTAAATTTGCACAAAGAACGCATTGAAGCCTTTCGTTCAAATATTCCTAACTGCTTCAATAATTCGACTTCATTTAGGGAAAACTGTTCGCACGAAGACAAGGAATAACGTTTCCTGCTCGAATGTGTGGTGTGATGTAGTTCAAGAGTTAGAACGCAACAAACAGATAAAAATTGTAGCATTAAATAGATCAGTAGATAAATATAGTCCTGCTCAAGCGACAACATCTTTATTGAATGGATTAAAATTGCAGAGCATTTTGAAGGAAGCTCATCAAGCAGACTTGATATAGTTAGTACAACAATTTTTAATCCAACACTAAATTAATGAGAAGCACATACATAAATTCAAACGTGTGCATAGATAAAGAAGCTAATTGCTTTGTTACTACTGGAAAATTCCCACTCTGAAACAATTGTAGAAAATGAAAACAAACTATTTAAATACGTATTATGTTTACTTGGCAAATTACCGCTGATTGCATAAGACAAATCGCAATAGTTAATCTTCATTAAAAACTATTGCTTAATGCAGATTTTCAAATTGAAAATAGTAAAACGATTTTCTACCGCTCTGGTCACTAATTAGCCAAAAGTTGTGCAATTCTATGGAAAAATTCATTAGTTATAATATAAATAGAATACAATATATTAAGAAATAAATATTTGCTAGTGCTTAAAAAATATCGGTTGAGGGTACAAAAGCTGTTTAGCGACATGAGCACACAACCCATATACACAGCCTAGTTAGGATTGTTTCTAGTCCACTAACTTGTGCAATACCCGTATATTTGCCTAATGATCGATCAAGGCGGTCGAGACATTCTCAACCAAAAATAGTTCACCAATATATTTCGCAAAAGCCCACGTAAGACAATTAAGTGTCTCATTTATAACCTAATTACTTTCCACTTTATGCACGCACAAGTAGTTATATTTCACTTCAACCAATTTTGAACGGCCTGCATCCGGATACTGAATCTTCATTTAGTCGGCGATGATATTGTTTGAAATTTCTTCATTAATCATTATTATCAGATTTTCAGCTTTAACTTCAAAATAAGTGTGACTCCATTAAGTTGAAAGCATTCCATCCACGTGAGTTTCTTCGGTATTATACAGCCTTAGCATTTCTCAGAAGCAGGACTTAATCTTTAGAGGTTTTTTTAATGCAATTTTTATTAGCATCAACATTCTGAAACAGAGAGAAACACTTTACATACAGTTTGGCTCTTTGATTGATGCCTTGCATATATTGCGCAACTGAAATTGGTCTGAATAATAGCAGAGACAGCAAAAGCATTGTCTAGATTCACATTTTTTTCTAGAAAGGAAGTGTCTCATTAAAGCAAATCGTTTAACACCAACAACAGTATGAAAATGCTGTTGCAATTAGCAGCTGGAATTAAAGGCAATTATCGAGAATAGCAATTAAATTGCCAGATATTACTACTAGCCGGCAAAGAAATTTGTCTTTATATTAGCAGCTAGTCATTCAGGAAATGACATAGAAACGGCGAGATTTCCGTAAACGGTTTTGAATTATTTAATTGTCTTTATAAAAAACAGGATTAAAGAATTTTTTAATTTTTTACTTGGCAAAGATCAGCTAGAACATTTTCAAAAGGGAAAACTTTAGAGCAAGCGAATTTATTTCAAGAATTTAAATTCACATTTTTTTGTAAATTCTTGAAATAATAGCATAGCTTTGTTAATTTAAAAAAATTGACTCTGAAAAAGTGAATTCAACGTTACTTAATAAAGGATTCCTGCAAAAATTAGTTCGCGAGTAACTAAATAAAAAATGGCGACAACTACAAAGATCTATAGGCCTCATAATTTTTATATAAGATGATAGAGCTTTTTCTACAGGCTGTACTAGGCTGAAGTATGAATTTGCTGATCATTTTAACGGAAAATATAACAAAACGCGTGCAAATTTGCGTTAAACGTAAATCAATTATTTTTGGATTGGAACACAATGTCCGTCAATTTCAGCTTAAGAAAGTTTTAACCCGATAACTGAAGAATAGCGATTTATTGGAAGGATATCTCTAAATGCACATGGCTTTCACCTTAAACTCACTCAAAGCTTTATGATTGCGGGGCTGGCCGCTATATAACCGTACAGCATTCGAAAAAGAAAACTTTTGTCGACTGAAACCTCAGACTGAACTTTTGCAATGTTCGATTTTTTACCAACACTGCGGGAAAATGACCAATACAATTATGAAAAAACTTATGACCAATACACTTAAAATGACCAAGACTTATGAAAAAACTTTTCCCATTTTCAGAAAATTATTTACAGCTTTTTCCTTGATAGCTTTTGCCTTCATGTCTTCATATGAAGAACGTGATTGTTTTCATTCACAAAAGGACATTTAAATTACCCGTACTAGTCGTTGCGACTAAAAATAGCTTCTTACGGTACAAGTTCACATGTAGGTATGTACGAGGTGAAGCTGCAAGAATATTGTTTATTATTGTGAAAAACACGAAGTTATTTAGAGATTGCGACAGTCGATTGCACCGACGTACCATTGCCATTGCCAATTTCCAAGATAATTTACACTCCTTCAGAGAGCAGAAACCGCTCGTAATTTGCTTATAAAAAAATTGGGTAACAAGAAGAAAGGTCACAGAAACACCTTTTGAAATTAAAAAAAATGGAAATGTTAAGTATTTCACTTTCTCCACTTATGTTGTGAAATTGATGTATTTTAATGCCATGCCATGTGAATGCAAATATTTAGATTCACTTAGCTTGCTTGCTTCCGATAATGTCAAATTATTTAAAATACATACGCACTTTCCCTTTTGGGTGAAAAAAAAACCGACAATTCCAATTATGCGACTGTTGTATTAAGAAAACATACATTGTTTTTTTTGTTATTTAAGGATGATCACCTGAAGATGACTTCAAGTCGCACAGGACAGGATGGCGTAGTAAATTGCCGTGTTAAGCTCAACAACATCATCGCTATTATAGTCAGAAAAGAAGGCTGTCAAGGAGATCCAGGGGATTTTTGGATGTACGAAAATGGGTACCTCTTGTTCCAGGTAAGGCAGTAATTTGTCGTTTAAAATCCAACTGATATCCATTAATATCAATTCATCAATCTAACACTTGCAAGGCTGTATCTAATCAAATTATTCAGGTCATATAAGGTCACATCATAACAAATCAGACAGTTATCTTAAACGTAACAAATCACTCGGCGTTAACGGAGACCAAAAAAGCCTTGCATTCAACATATATAGCAAGCTGTTCCCATGTACCCAATAATATCAGCAAGGTCCGAATCGTATACAATACTCACAATAGGTCACACCTGTTACGGTGAATTGCAGAGATATATTAAGTGATAATGAGCAAAAATGCAGGCTAAATTTGCACGTTTAAGTTGCCAACATTATTAATCTTCCAACAATCCATCACGAAGTAACATTGACCTCGTGGCTAACCATTTGAGAAATCGACGTTTAGGTGATTGACTGATTTGTTTCTTAACAGCACTATTGTTATTGTTATTTCTTATTAACTTATAGTTCGTGCAGTGGAAACCAATCAAATATTCAGATCAATCCGTTGCTAATGAATTGTGTTGTTTCTTCACTGATATGTACAAAGCACTTTCCCATTTTTGACTGTTGAATGTTTTGCTCGTAAAGCATTTACCTAAACTGGTATTTTTCCTAAGTTTATTTATTCTTCTCATAAACAGTCTTCTACTTGTTTCAAACCGTCTTTAGTGGTTCTTTTTCCTTATTTCCGACATTACTATTAATAAAGGGAAGGTGAGGATGGTCATTTCAATCAATTTTTACTAGAGAACTTGGCTTTTGCCTTGGAAAATTTCCGTTTTAATCCACTAAGCTCCCACCTGAACTAACCGACATAATTTTTTGATGCCGAGCCGCAGTATTGGGTAAGGCATTTTTAGGTAAAGTTTGGAAAACTCTACAGCATCAACAAGATAAGCGATTGGATTGAAAATTTCCACATTAACAATAATAGATTTTGTCAATCGCATCATTAAGTTTAAGTTTTATATCTAATGAATTGTGGGAGTGGTAAATTTTTTGTCGCGTAGATGCGACTAATTGCGGAAAATGCGACTAAATTAAGTCTTTTTGACAGAATACTGAAAGTATTATCAATTTTTTAAAAAATACGTAATATTTTGGTGTTTAAAAAATTTGTTGTTGAAAAAATTTAACACAGAACAGACGAAAAAGGGTAAAGGCGGCAATTTGGAACATATCATTAATTTTTAAAGTGTAGTTCCAAAAATTTCAGAAGATTGATGGGTAGTGAGATTTATGTGAAATTTTCAGGTTTTACATCTCAATATTTAGTTTTTCGCTGCTTAAAGTTCCAGCTTTTCATCTCATTACCTTAGGGAGTTATGAATTTTGGTTCCGAGCCGCAGTATTGAATAGCGCATTTTCAGGTCAAGTTTCGCAAATTCTACAGAAACCAGATTAATAATTTCGGCTCTTGCATCCCTAAAAATTGTCAATAACGCCATACAGTTCGGTATCTGCTTAATTCTGTAAGGTGTAAAATTTTAGGTGCCCAGCTGTGGTATTGAGTAAAGCTCTATTTTCCATGTCAAGTTTCAAAATCGCTAGAAAAGTTACGGAACATACGATTGAATTGAATTTTATTGAATTAAGGTGCACGGATTTTGTTAATAAAACCTTGAAGTTTTAGCTCTAAATGTTTTTAACTTTGGGATGATGATGGAGTTATTAGGCGCTCAGATGCATCATTGAGTAGAACATCACTTTTTAACCTCAAGTTTTGGCAGTTCTGGTTTTTTAGAGGCAAAGAGGCGGAATTGGCATTTGAAAGCATTTTTACAGTCAACTTCTGAAATTTATGGAAAATTAATGCGCCGTAGGATTTGATTGGAAATTTTCCTATTTTCAAACAATTATATTGTCAATTAAGTGTGTAACTGCAACGTCAAGATTCTTTCAAAATATTTCATTTTTGCAACATATGGCAACAAAGATAACTTCTTGGACTTGACTTTGCCTGGAAAATTTTCTAGTCAAGTACATCCATCTCCTACCTGATCCCACTGCAGGAAATTATGGCTTATTACCGGGTGAATTAATATCTGTCTGTTATTAGTGAATAGAAGCACTTTAAAGTGGTTGTTTTATAGGAAGAAAATTCTGGAGCGTGCGAAATCAAGTGCGCTACCATTTTCAAAAAACCGTAACATAAAATTATCATAACGAAAAATGGAAATTGGGCTCAAAAAAATTCGCAAATATGCCCATGCGAACAGCGTAAATGCTATCAAAGAAAAACTACAACCCTGATTGCCATCTACTTCTACAAAATGAAATTCTGTTCGCATCCAGATCGCTGAAATTTCCTAAAACTCTAATTTTGTCGAAAAATTTCGTTCTTGGAAAACGACGTAAATCCAAATGAAAGGCCAGGACCACTTGCACCCTACTATTCGTTAGACCACAATCATAAAAATCGTTACCTTTAGGCACTGTAGTCTGGATTCTGGGGTAATACTTTCAAAAAGGCAAAAATGAAAGTTTACAGCTAAAATCAGTTATAATTCGAGGCTAATTAGCGGTGTGTTAGCAGCAGACCACCCATATTTTAATTAGACCATTTAATGTTAAAGGCTGGTCAAAAAAACAAAAATTTGCAAATCTGAGCAATGTAATTAGCAATACGATAATTAATTCAAAATGCCTGACAAGACATTATAAAGTGTGTTCACAGGAAAATGACATCGATTTAGGGAAAACAAATTGAAAATCCTATTGCAGAATCCGGAAACTCCCACGTCGTTTTTCGGCGAAAAATATGACAAAATACAAGTTTACAATATTTTAGAAAAAGCTCTGCATCTACATGGCAACAAGGGGCCAAAAGCTACAAAAGTAGTGCCAAAGTTACTGATAGCTGAATCATGCCACCAGGAAAGGAAGCAAACAATGGAAAATCAAAATTTTCAAAAATCGGAAAGAATTTGCTTGAAAGAATCCTCAATTCAGGATGACAATTTCAATGCATTTCTACTACAGCACTTGGCTTTGCCTTGAAAAATTTCTATTCAAGTACATCCAGCTCCCACCTGAGCCCACCGCAGGAAATTATTGGCTCATTCTACTCCTTACCAGGTCAATTATTCGCATATTTATATTCAACGGCATCACAGCCAAACATGTAAATAATTGTCGATTTCCCATTAAGTTTTTTTCTTCAGTCGTCGTCTATAATTACTTTCATCATCGTTGCCGTAATATTATAATTAGTAGCTACCTTTGCCGGCAAATTTGCAATTTAGCTTCAAAAATGCCGTTATTTTGACGAGAATTATATGCTAATCAGGTTGCTTTCGTACATGTACGCGCAGAATAATGGAGAATAAAGTAATTAGAAAAATGCCTTTAATGTGTAGGAGACATTTCACATTCAATGCCACACGAGATCGCTTGCAGCTTGTGAATAGTACGGATTTTCTTTTCTGAGCTCGATTATTGATCAGTGAAGATATTTTTCGCTAAAGTCTAGGTAAAGACGTGTACGAAATGTACTCCAAGTTATTAAAAATTGAGCTGCTTTGACATGAATTTGGGATTAATAATAGCGTTTCTTAAAAAACTGCCGGTGCTGAAGCGTTTGTGAAAGGATTTGGAGGAAAGGAATTTGAAATTAAAATACTTACATTCAAGCATAGGATCCACAAATAAACACACCCAAGAATTTTTACAGTTCCTATAGAAAATATGTGTAAAAAGTGTCTTTGCACGAATCGTTGAATTGTAACAAAGCTGTTTTCAGGAGAATCTTAAAAAATGTCTTTAACATTTGTCAAAAAAGAATTGCTTTGTGGGGGATGGAGAGTGAACTTTTACATAAAATATTGAAGAAACAGATCGTCGAGATCTAACTAATTTCAATTGCAACTATGTGCTGAATCCTCAGCTTTCATCGTTTTGCTTATTTCACCACAGAGCTCCTTAAACGTATATTCAGATCAAGTAAAAGCCTCAATCTGATAGACCAAACCGATACGTTTGCATGTTTCGGAAATGAAGTGCAAAAACAAGCAAGACGAAATAGAAAATTACAGCTTGAAGCCAAACGTTACTTGGTCGAAATGTATGATTGCACTGATCGAGTTGCAAATGAATACGGATTAGTTATGCAAACAATATCGGACACTTTTGTGTTTGCATCGAGGAACAAACGAGAATTAGCCGAATGCGGAGGAAGTCGATTTAGCTGCAAGATAGAATAATCAATCGGAATCGGTCGTGAGAAAACGGCAAAATTGGAGGAATCAGCTTTGAGTAGCCAATGGGGGATAATAATCGTAGTAATTTAAATACGTCTGCCCATAGGGCAGAAGGTAATGATTAGAATTAGTTTCATGGTCGGTTGTTGTTGTTTCTTTATTGATAAAAGCTCACGACTTTTCTAAGTGGATGTTTCAAATCGGTTTCTATCAACTCAAATCAAACCATTCTCTGTTAAAGGCAATCAGATTGATTTAGAATTGGTTGCGCAACCGTAAATATTTTAATTATGCACCGAAATATCGTGAGTTTAAAGTGCCAAAATGTCCTCGACTTTTCAGTCGAGTAGGTAGCCAGAAATATGTTGACAAAAGTGTTTAACATCTTAAGGTTGAGAGGCATCGGTTAGTAAGTGGACGCCAATTCAATTTCCTTTCCATTTACTACACTCTCTATTCGCTTCTGTATTACGTTTGTTGCAAAAATAAACAACACAAAGACGTAATAGTTGAGTAACGTTCGTTTAATCAAAGGATTTTCCTTCTGTTGTGTTTGGAATTTTCTAAATTTTTCATAGGAATTTCTCCACGTTCGACGCACAAATTAAAATAACTAAAAGTGAATAATCTTGCCAAATCCATTGTCCTAAAGTGTGCAATGGTTTAATTAATGACTGCAATTGAGTTTTAAGCTCATTCCTTTTTGGCAGCTCACAAGGCGATATAAGTACGTACAAATTTTGAGATTTCCAGAGATATCCAGATGATGATATTTGC